GAGATTATGACCTGAGCCAAAGGCAAGACGCTTAACCGACTGAGCCACCCAGGCACCCCTATTCCAGACTTTCTATTAAAGACTTTACAGGGAAAATTGTCAAAATATGAATAGAGTAATATCATTAAATTATTTAGAGATGAAAGGACATCATCTGCAACCAACTAGGAAATGATTCAGAGAAAAATATGTGTATATTCATATTTATGTATTCATTATAACAAATGCAGTGACATGTTAACATTTGGGGAATTTGGGTGAAGAGTTTAAGAGTTCTTTGTACTCCTCTTGCAACTTTCCTACGTCTAAAATTATGTCAAACAACAACGAAAGGGTGATAAGAAATCATATCTTGGCAAACTTCCTTGGATATAAAAATGTAGATGGCATGAGAAAATTCACAGCTTTTCTCATTTAGGTCAGAATTAATGTAAAGTGAAGAATGTTAGCGCCTGCTAACAACACAAAAAGAGAAAACCAGGTACTGCATGCCTCTTGATGAAGAGAACAACAGCCGTCTCTGAATAGGTCTGCAGAACCTTTAAACCTGAACCTGATTAAGCCTTAGATCCAACTACCAATTTGCAGGAAATACAGAGAACCGAGGAAAATCGAGACTAAGGAAAATTCTAGAACAGTAACCTGATGTCTTCAACAAATTAAATGTAAAGGAAAAAGCAAGATATAGGAAAACCTATAGATTAAAAGTGACTATATATGTATATATAGAGACTATATTAAGAAACTGTATATATTTATAGATATATTTTTATAGCGTTTATGAATGCATATTTGGGTGGTAAAACTACAAAGTAATTGTAAGGATATTGCTGTAAAGGTCAGAAAGTGGTTATTTTTTCTTGGGGTGGGGGAGCTGGGATTTTTTCAGGCAGGGGCTCCCGGAGGATTTATAGGGTGTCTGAAAAGGTTCCTCTCATGGAGGGGACGGTGATTATAGGGTGTTAGTCAAAAGGACAATTCATTTCTTTTAAGCTGTTTCTTGTATATTTTTAAAAAGGTTTTATTTATTTATTTGACAGAGACACAGCGAGAGAGGGAACACAAGCAGGGGAAGTGGGAGAGGGAGAAGCAGGCTTCCCGCTGAGCAGGGAGCCCAATATGGGGCTCGATCCCAGGACCCTGGGATCATGACCTGAGCCGAAGGCAGACGCTCAATGACTGAGCCACCCAGGTGCCCCTGTTTCCTATATTTTAACAATAAAACCTGTTTTTTTGTTGGTTTTGTTTTGTTTTTTTAACTATGTTCATGAACTTGGCAAAACTAATGAAACAAGGTCTCAGCGTTGCCACCTCAAGTCGCCTTTAGGAATTGCAGACTTCTCTCTGAAATTGCCAGGTAAGGTTTAAAAAATGATTGAAATCTATTTTTTATAGGTAATTTACTTAACTTTTTTAATTCATAAGAGAAATGCATGCAAATCGTATAAATTCAGATAGTGCAGAAGAATATAAAATGGGATATTGCCAATTTCTTTTCCCTCATCTCTAAACCCCTACTCCCATTCCATAGAAGCTTTCACCTTTTACTTTGTAAAAAAATATCCTTGTATCTGTTTCTTAATTTAGAAAGAATCTATTGTTTCCTTACTCTGAAAAATGGGAAATTTTTTGCCATTTGCACCAGCTCTCCTATCCTCTCCACCTCCTGATTTTTGTTACTTAATTTTATTTCTTCTAGAAATAAAAGTGAACACTTTTTTTTAAAAAAGATTTTATTTGAGAGAGAGAATGAGAGACAGAGAGCACGAGAGGGAAGAGGGTCAGAGGGAGAAGCAGACCCCCCGCTGAGCAGGGAGCCCGATATGGGACTCGATCCCGGGACTCCAGGATCATGACCTGAGCCGAAGGCAGCCGCTTAACCAACTGAGCCACCCAGGCGCCCCAAAAGTGAACACTCTTTATGCCTTTAAATATTACACTTAAAACTTTGAATCTTGATTTAGCCCTTTTAAAGAGTATTTACTTACACTCTGAAATGAAGTTGAAGACATTCGTGATTCCATTTACATTCCTACTCACCTTGCCTCTTCCCTCTCACTTTTTGGTAATTTATTAATTTTACAATGCCATGGTGAATAATAAATACATTTTCCATACGTGTCACTTGGTTGATTCAAAAAGTTACAGGTTAGGGCGCCTGGGTGGCTCAGTTGGTTGGGCGACTGCCTTCGGCTCAGGTCGTGATCCTGGAGTCCCGGGATCGAGTCCCATATCGGGCTCCTTGCTCAGCAGGGGGTCTGCTTCTCCCTCTGACCCTCCCCCTCTCATGCTCTCTCTCTCTCTCTCATTCTCGCTCTCAAATAAATAAATAAAAATCTTTAAAAAAAAAAAGTTACAGGTTAAAGGCAACATCTACAATCTGGTTATGTAAATATCAATCAGGATGCAACAAAAATCATGTGAATGAACTCAAAGGGGAAAATAACCACAAACTTTTTTTACTTGGTTTGCTTTTTGCCTATTAATCAAGAAAAGGTCTGTATCAGCACGTATAAGCCAAATGTTCTCACAATGAGTGATTTCATGTTTTGGCTTCCTACAATATTTTTCCTTATGTCTGTACTAGCTCATAGAATGCTGAGTTATAATTTATCAGCTTACATATCTGTCCATCCACAAGGCAAATGGTTTTAACAGACTTGAGTATAAAATGAAAGTTACGGACCATACATTTTCCCCAGACAAATGCACTCACATACAAAATTTGGGGTACAGTTTCAGGTGTTTTCACAGGCCTTCCCCTGGGTCCCAAAGTAAAAACCTCTAAACAGTGTTTCCTTAAAGGCAGGGATAGTATCTTATTTTTGTATTTCTAGCACATAACTGTCCCAAGGTGGCAGCCAACGAATATATTTGGGTAAATATTAGCATATGTGCTGCCGAAGCCAGCCCTATTTGGGTAAATATTAAACGAACCAGTTATTCCCACTTTTTCATGGGGGGATAATTTTCATGTTTTAAAGTTTACTTTTAGAATAGAAAAGGTTAGTTTCATCTCTCTAGTTTCTGTTTTGTAGAATCTGCTTTGTAATATAATGCAAAGATACTTGGAGGTAGCTTTAGAAATTATGAATTTTAATGATATCCATGCTGAGATCTTCAGGGGTGAAATATATTGATGTCTGCAACTTTGAAGTGTATCAAAACAGAAGACATATTGATGGATAGATGCTTATGAAATAAAGCAAAAATAGGGAAGTGTTCATTGTAGCATCTAGAAAGTAGGCATGTGGTTGTTCACTGCACAGTTCTTTCAATTTTTTTTAAAGATTTTATTTATTTAAGAGAGAGAGAGAGCACTAGAGAGTGAGAGCAAGCAGGAGTGGGGGGGGCAGAGGGAGAGGGTGAAACAGGCTCCCCGCCCAGCAGGGAGCCCGAAGGGGGTCTCGATCCCTGGAGCCTGGGATCATGACCTGAGCTGAAGGCAGACGTCCAACTGACTGAGCCACCCAGGCGCCCTCAATTTTTTCTAAATGTTTGAACTTTTTTTTTTTTTTTCCAGATTTTATTTATTTGTCAGAGAGCGAGTGAGAACAAGCAGGGACAGCTGTGGGCAGAGCAGGCCGAGAGAGAAGCAGGCTCCCTGCTGAGCAAAGGTCCTGATGCAGAATTCGATGCCAGGATCCTGGGATCATGACCTGAGCTGAAGGCAGACGCTTAACTGAGCCACCCAGGCTCCCTGAACGTTTTCATAAGTTAGAAAAGTGATTTGTTTTGCTCAAGTAGAGGTACATTCCATGTTAGACCTTGGAAGACATAAATAGACAAATCTATCCTTCTGTTTGCAGAACTCTTTGGAGAATCTGAATAGTTCCCATGGTACACTATGAACCGGCACACTATGCTTCTTTTGGTAGAAAACGATTTTATTAACATAACTGGGCAATTTACCAAACACAAGTTAGATAGCACAAAATGTGTAACTACTACACTGAAAATGTGACCCAGTCATTTACGCAGATTTCAGAAGAGATGTGCACAGGAGAGAAAGGGGATGGTTTTGTGGTTTTAACGTCATCGGTCTTTGGTGAAGTATTTTACTGGCTGCAAACGTGGTAGACTGGTCTATTTACGTTTTCCTCATTAAAGGAATATAATAAGCAAATGTATACCCGCTCCCATTCGTTAGAAACACATCATGATTATACCGCAGGGGTGGAAGCGGTTATGGAGGCAGTTATGTGTAATGGACAGGCGCTGCAGTCAGAGTGCTTGGGTCTGGATCCTACCTAGACTGGCATTGGGAAATGGATAACGATCTCTCCATCATAGGGCTGTTGCAGTATAAAGTGGAACAGGAGCAGCTGACTATTATTATTATTATTATTGTCCCCTGACAAGTCATAATTATGGCTTGACATAATGGAGGAAGCTGGACCAGCTGTCTCAAAGTCTTTTCTGTCTGGAATCCTGCGGTAAGATCTGAGGCAAATACCCCAGATCGCACCCTTTTTTGAGCACGCGTCACTTGGGAACCTAATACCTGAAGCCCCGCAAACCCCTCGGCACCTAGTAAACTGCCGATCCTGCGCATGCGCGGGGGAGCTCGCCAGCCCCGCCCTTCCGTGGTGCATGGCCTGTTCCATTCCTGAGGGATGTTGACAGTGGGGGAAACTTGGAAGCTTAGGCCCGGAACTACAGGTGCGTCACGAGCATTTCCAGCCTCTCAGCGCAGGAGTGGTCACTTGCGGTTATTATATGTCTACCCCGACGCCTGCGACGGGCTTCTGGAAGTTTGGAGCGGCTCCGCCGTGTCTCGCCCCCCTCACCTGGGAACGTTAGGGCTGGCCGGCGTGAAGGCCAGGTACGGAAGC